TATTCATATTCCACATTGTCTTTGGTGGTTCCTCTCTTCAATATTCTTTTGTATCACATTACTGAATGGATGACCACAAAAACCAACCCTGAAGATAATCTACACCGCTCTACAGTTGCAGCGTTCGCAAAAATTTCAAGATATTATGATTTGACTAGTGACTGCTTTACTATCTGCACTGTCCTGGACCCAAGATTTGGTATTGAATATTACAAAAATGATAAGGGCGCAAACAGCGAGTTGTATACAAAGATTATGGACACAGTCAATTGTGAATATCAAATCAATTATGCCCCAAGCAATATTACAACTGCTACAAGCATTCAAAACGTTTCAAAATATACCCCGTTCAAATCGCGTGTTTCATCAAACCCATGTAATGAGTTTGAAAACTATTGTAATGATACAAGTAAGCTAGATGGCGGCAATAATAGCAACATATTACTTTGGTGGAAATCTCGATCTGACAAATATCCAAACCTATCCAGAATGGCCAGAGATTACCTGGCCATTCCTGCTACATCTGTATCATCAGAAAGGCTCTTCTCATTAGGAAAAAATCTTATTACTGACAAAAGAAATCTTCTCTCTGCAGATACCATTCAAGCTTGCCAGTGCTTGAAGTCTTGGTTGGATTAAAAAGAATAAAAGAAGCTGTAATGTGTGAGAAATAGTAACAAATGCTGCAATATGAATAAAATTTATAGATTCAGATAACTAAAATTAATAAATGAAATAAGTTAAATAACGTTCAAATATACATCAAATCTTGGAAAGATTTGAATTTGATCTAAATTCAAAATAGGAAGATTTGAATTTGGCCATTTCAAACATTTGACGCATATTTGATCAAACTATTTGAATTTGTGCCGAACACTACTTTTTATAAGTGGGATAAAAGTTTGTGAAGCAGCAGAACTAAAACTTGGTAGTGTATGATTATTAATTTCAATCTACTATAATAAAGTCTATGATATTCAACATATCCTGAGTTTTTTAAAAACTATGAAAATTTAAAACCATTTAAAAAATCTTTAATACAATATTTTTTTGTTATGTTTTACAATTATAAAGTTACTTTCTCACTGCTATTATAGTAGTAGTAGAGAAATTGCTGCAACAGGTTTCCCTGTATAACCTACAGGTTTTGGCAGCCTTATCTACTTCATACATTAATTTTATTCATATCAATATATATAAAAATTTACAATAAGATATATAGTATAAAGTATAAGTTTGTACTTTATTGTTTTTTTTTTTTTTTTTTTTTTTTTTTTCAGTTATAATCTCGATACTTATGCGGATTATTTGAAATTTCTGCATCAAGCTTAGCCTTGAAACTGTTAACTGATGAAGCGCATACAACTTCTGACGGTAATGCATTCCAATGATTCACTATTCGATTAGTAAAAAACTGGTGCCTTTGCTCACAATTTTTAACATATTCTCTAGTCATTTTTAGATGATGTCCTCTAGTTTTTATTTTATTTGACTGCCCAACACGAAGGACATGGGGTTCACTCCATGAGACAATATCTATATTGTTAATAATTTTATAGGCCTGTATCAGATCTTCCCTAATGCGACGGGTTTCTAAGGACGTTAAGTTCAGTATATTTAGACGATCTTTGTATGACATATGACGGTACGAAGGTACTAAACGGGTAGCTCTTCTTTGTACTTTCTCGATTTTGTCAATATCTATTCTTGATGATGGATTGCTGGCTGCAACCGCAAATTCCAGATGAGGTCGTACAAAAGTTGTATATAGAATTTTAAGTTGTTGCGGAGTCATGTGACTGAAAGTACGATACAACATGCCTAATACACGGTTAGCTTTATTGGTGGCAAAAGTTGAATTGTTATGCCATTTTAAGTCTGGTGTAATCATGATGCCTAAATCACGTTCGACTAAAGTTGATGCAAGTTCGACACTGTTATTATTATTAGCTGGCATTAAGTAGACATAAAAGTTGTTTTTTTTACCTATGTGCATGATTTTACATTTATCGAGATTAAGTTTCATTTTCCAGGTATTACACCAATCGGCTATGTTGTAGATATCAGTTTGAAGCATTTGTGAAGCTAGTGGGTGGTCTAAACGGGCCAGCAGTTTAGTGTCATCAGCATACATTTTACATGGATGGTTAACAATATCGGATATATCGTTCACAAAAATGATAAAAAGTATTGGACCTAATACGGATCCTTGAGGGACGCCACTAAATACCTCAAGCCACGAGGAAGCATAATCGCCCATCACGATTCGTTGAAAACGCTGGTGTAAAAACGATTTTATCCAATTCAGGAGATTTCCAGTAAAACCATATGCCTCAAGTTTGTAAATTAGTCTCTTGTGGGGAACCATATCAAATGCTTTACTGAAATCTATAAAAGCTACGTCCATAGATATCTTGTCAGATAATGCTTTTGACATTATGTCAATCGACTCCAACAAATTAGTCACACAAGCTTTTTTATTGACAAAACCATGTTGATTTTTTGAAATAAGGCTATGTTCGACTAAATGATTGACCATAGTGTCACGTAATATTTTCTCCATCACTTTACATACAACTGATGTTAAGGATATAGGCCGGTAATTGCCTGGGTCGAGTCTACTTCCATTTTTAAACAGTGGTGTTACATTAGCTTTTTTCCATACTTTAGGACAACACCCACTATCTAGCGACTTCTGAAAAATTGCGCTTAAAGGTATTGAGAAGCTGTCAGAACAGTTCTTCAGTACATATGCGCTTACACCATCCAAACCAACGGTTTTGTCAACTGATAAATTGCTCAGCTTGTTTTTAACCAGATCTAGCGTTATTTGCGAGTATTTGCAGATGGCTTCAGTTCGTTTTATAAAATATGGCAGTTCATCGTCTTCATTTTTGTTGAAAACACTTTGAAAGTGATTGTTCAGCCGATTTGCAATTTCTATTGGATTTGTGATAGTGTCGCCATTGATTCCTTTTAAGGCTGTTATTGTAGTTCTAACATTTTGTAAGATTGCAGTAAAGAGTAAGATTGCATCAAGTTGTAACAACAAACATTCTAAAGTAACCAGAGTAAATATTAATTTTGACTTTCAGCAAAGTAGTTTCATATTGAACATAAGAAGATTAATAAAGGTAACAAGTTTATACAAAACAAATACAAATTATTAAACAGTCTGTTCTCCTATATTCTTTATTTCCATTCAACTCTAATTTTTTTCGTGCTTTTTTTTTTTTAATTTTTCAATTTTCAAACTTTCAAACATTTTAAATATCACAATATGATTGAAATATGCAACTTTAATTTAGTCAATGTAAAAGAAGTAGTAAGTAAAGCAATAACAAATCTTCAAGCACAATCTCTGTATTTTCAAATTCCGTTCAGCGTTCTGGGGCTTTCCAATATAGCGATTTTGGCGTCAATTTTGATATTAGAGATGCGCTATCCAGTTATTATAGAGATCAGTAGCGAGCAGATCAATTTATGGTACAAACGGCAGAGCGGAATAATAAAATTAGCTAAACTTTTATTAGTCTTCTGCAAAATAATTTGGTATACATGCAAAGCATTTTAAATATAAAGTTAATCTTAAGTGAAAATTTTTTAAAAAGCAAGGTGTTACACCCTACATCGCCAAGTTCGCTGAAATTTGGCTCAAATGTTTAAAGATTTAAGTTAGGAAAGACTGTTAATTTTTTTTTTTTAATTTTTTATCTCTTTAAGAATATCAGCAACTAAAAGTTTGTTAGATTTTGACTTAAAAATGAGGGGGGGGGGTACCGGAAATGTGTCGGTTTACTATTACCCTTATAAGGTGCTTGTAGTAATTTAGCAATGCTAAAATTTGGTACCAAGGGTGTTTAAAACCTGTTTAATCTGAAAACTGTAGATTTGTATCTTTCAAAGCAACAAATTATAGTCAATTTTAAGTTCTACAAAACGCACTAACTAATGATAATAAAAATTAAAGTTGACAACTTTAGTTATAAAAAAAATCTGACTGTTAAGGCGAGTTTTCACTCATCAGTTTTTCAACGGGAACAATGTATTTTTTGAAATTTTAAAAAATTAAAATTTCAAAAAATACATTTTTCCCTGATTTCCCTGACTAGAAAAAAATTCCCTGACTTTTCCATGATTTCCAGTTGGCTGGCCACCCTGGTATAATATTATTATAATAGCATGCAAGTGTATATTAGTATGCACCTTTTAATTCTTAATTGCCCTTTGCAAAATGCCTGAGGCTTGTAACATATTTGCAAGGTAAACAGCTTACAAGTTTGCTGTATGAATCATTAGTTAGGCAATGTGATTGTAACACAACCTAAAGGTTCCTTAGGCAACATATAGCAAATCTTTATATTTACTTTTAATAATTTTGTTCTTGGTGCGTGTATATATATATATATATATATATATATATATATATATATATATATATATATATATATATATATATATAAATTAACTTAACGCTTAACTGTCGAAAAATAATATCAAGACATTTTTGTAAATGCCATTGGACATTTTCACAACACCAGAACATTTGTATAAGATATTGCAATTACAAAAGAATATATTAAAGTAAAAAAAATATAAATAAAATATTAGTTAGCTCTATCATCTTGAACAAAATAATCATTGAATAACTTGTATAAGCATTGAATAACAAAATTAATATTGAATAAAAAGTTATAATGTGGTAGGGAAAAGTAAAAAAGTATGTACACTTAGAAAAAAAAATGTTCACCTTTCATTTTGGTCTTTTATGTTGCTTATTTGTTTTCACAAGAAATATTTTTAATATTTATTAATTATACAACTAATATTTATCAGTATAAAACTGATAGATGTTAGCTGAATCATTATTATTTTACTTTAGAGTCAATAGTTTTAAAAAAACTTGAAAGAAAGTCTGTTTTCATTTATACCATTTTTACATATAAAAAATCAACATGTATGTGATGCTGTTATTTAGTCTAAAACACTAAATACTTTAATGTAAAACTGCAAATAACTAGTTATCACCAAATATCTAGTGTTTTATAAAGTTAGAGATGGCTTTTTCAAACCTTCACAAAGTGTAATTAAAGTTAGCAAAGCAACAGAACAAAACATTGTTATTAAGTGATATCAATTTTAATAAAGTATTGCATAGTTGATGATATTTCAGTTGTGGAACAATATAAACATGCCCTCAGAGTTTCAAAAATTAAAAAACCATTTACAAAAATGTTTGATACAATGTTTTTATCATGTTTTATACTTGTAAAGTTACTTTCCAGCTACTATTGCTAAGTAAGGTCGCATCAAGTTGTTAAAATAAATACCCAAAAGTAACCAGATCAAATATTAATTTGTCTTTCAGAAAAGTTTTATTTAGAATATCATGAGTTCAATAAATTTAACAAGTTCATAAAAAGCAATACAAATTTTATTATTTCTTTATAGCGATATTTCTCTTCGTCGTTAATGTTTTGCGTGTTTTTGATTCCCTCTTATAATTTTTACACCTTTAAACATTTTAAATATAATAATATCATTGAAATATGTGACTTGGTCGAGTAGATATAAACGAAGTAAAATGGTACATCTTCAAGCGCAACCACTGTATTTTCGGTATTCTGGGGCTTTCCAATATGGCGGCCGTACAAAAAATTGGCTTCACTTTTGATAATAGAGATGCGCTATCCAGTTATTATAGAGATCAGTGGTAGAAACTCACCTTTAGAAAAAACTTTAGGTTTTAATTTTCTTAAAGATTAGACATATATGTACTTTACGAACCAATTTTCTTTAGACCTTATGATTTGCTGAGAATTGATGTTTTAGTTTTCAATTTTTCTGAACAAAATTAGATTTAAAACAAAAATACAATTATATTTGTTTTTAATCTAATTTTGAGTCAGTTAAAAAAAAACAGAATGTGTGTTATGTGATTTAAATTTTTACAAAGTTGTTACAAAATATTGTTAAATGTTTTGTGAACTTATAAATTTGTTATTTTCATTACTTAATAGTTATGTCATTAAGTTAAACAATGTAATCTTTGTTATTATTGTAATAAATCAGTGATTACCTCATCAATAAAATAAATAATAAAATGACAAGTGTACATAATAATATCCAATAAATATTACCTTGTTAAATTATATAACTAAATATAAACATATTTAGTTAAAATCTACTTTCAACCTAATTTTTGGTAGATAAACAGTAGAGAATTGACAATAATTAGTAGATAATTAGTCATTTAAAATATCTGTATTAAAACTAATAGGTATTTGTTCAAGCAATATGTTCTTTATTAATATAACTTTTTATTTTATTTTAGACATATTGTTTACGTTTAAGTGTACTTTAAAGTACACTTGAACGTAAACAGTATGCAAATTTGCTCATTAGGAGTATTGTATTTAAGATTTCTTCTAGTTCATCGAGATATGTTAATAGTGAGATATGAGAGTAATCAGTAAAGTTGCTGTAATCTTTTTCTGACTTACAAAAAAGTGAGAAAAGGTAAAAGTTCATATATTTACATTTTTTTGGGTAATACCATTCTTAATAAGTTGTTTATAAGTTTTTTATAATAGGATTTGTTCATTAATTGTTTTATAATAATATTATAATTAAAGTTATAGTATTTGAGTAATATAGTTACATTTTCTTTTCAGCATCTCTATGTGTGATTACAATGCATACTGTGTTAGAAGCAGAAACCGTAGGTTTTAATCTTATACCTGGAAAAAAATTGTGTCCAATCTGGCGAAGTAAAGTTATGAATCATTTATCAAAAATTATGAGTGAAAAGAATGATGAAGATTTTTATATTGTAGTGAAACATCCATTCAAAATGAAAAGAGGGCGTAAATACACACTTTACAGCTGCTGGATTTCTTATTAAGATCAAAGGATTGCATAAGTCAGGTAAAATCAAATAAAGTAAATGAAAATTGACAGCATTAACAACCTTCGTTAAAAAAAAAGTAGCCACTTCCATTACGCGGTCGTTTAGATGTGGAAAGTTATTATTGTCAAATTCAAATACTATATTTTTAAAGACGGTGACGGCCTTTAGATACAAATATTTTTCTGAGTAGCAACAATATTTTTAAAGGTTTAGTAGTTATTATTTGCATATTTTTAATAAAATGAAATAATAATAAAGATAATTGAATTGTTGATTCAAAAATGATAAAAATAATATAAAGATATTTTAGTATATAAAAAACTGTGATTCTCTGCTACATTTATCTGACTGTTAAAACCGTGATTTTTTTACATTTTCAAAACTCTTTTTTTTAAAATATATCCCAGACAGCAAGCTTACATTGGCCCAACGTAAGTTTTAACATTGGCAAGTTTATTCCGTTGGGCCAACATTTGGCCAATGCTTAATATTTTGCTGTTCTTACATTTATACCATAGCCAATATTCGGCCAATGTAGTTGCGGATTAGTTTAAAATTTGTAAAATTTGTTGCAAAACATTTTTTTAAATGGTATCATTTGACAGAATAAAAAAAAGTTTTGATATTATCTTTCCATTTTTTTAAATTATAAAAATAAAAAAAAGAAGGTATATTTATTAATCTTCTAAGAATCTTAAAAGGTTCCTTATAAGAAATAAACTTCAAGAGATTCTCGTGACTTAATGTCTTGTTTTTTTTAAATAATGAAATATTTGTTAACATTTAAACAATATGCTTAAAACATTTTTTTACTGCAATATAAATTATTAATGTAACAATAAAGGCAATAATCAAATTATTTTTGTGTAAAATCTTAGAGTTATTTTTTTATTTTTATTGCTGTATTGGCATTTCAAATGTTCGATTTATTTAATAAAAAAGAAATATCTTCTTTATTAAATAAATCAAAAATTTGAAATGTCACACAGTAAAAAAATTTTTTTTTTTTTTCATAATTTATTTATAATAGTTTTGATTATATAGCTATTATAAGATATATTATTAAAGGTATCAATAATACATATGTGGCATTGAAGTTATTAGAAGCTGATATTTTACATTTTAAGTATGTCTCTTTTGTTTGATTTTTTCTGTGTTTGATTGTGAAACCTATATTTGTACAGTTTTAATATATCTACTAATATATTAAAACTATACAAAAAGTAATGTTACTAGAATTTATATTCTACTTATGTAGAGTTTTCTTATCTTGCCAGACTTTTTATTTTAAGACCAATGACTAGTCTATAATAATTAATTGAATTATGAGATTAAATCAATAAATAATCATTAAAAACAATTAAAATAAAAAAATTCAATTTAAATCATTATTTTTATTTGTCTGATTTAAGTCATGATTTAAATCGAAACAACCCTTTATATATTCCATCTTTCTGAGGCAGAGGGACATTATTCTTGGTTTTATTATTTTTTAATTTAATATCTCTGGATATTTTACAAATTTAGTGTGCGTACAACAGTTAACAACTTTAATCTTATACATTAACTTTAGTTATAACTTAATTATTAATGATTTGATTTATAGATTTTTAAAGCAATACAAGATTAAATTTAGCAGAAGGCTAAACTTCTGCTCTGGAGACAAAAAAGGAAGACAGCGAAAATGATAAAGAAACAAAAAATTGTGTATATCTTGGTGTAGATGATTTATCCTCAATTTCTTATAATAAAACAAAAAATATTATTAAACTTTGGGATTTACCTGTAACTTGAAACTCTTTACAGAAGTTCAATGTTTGCTCTGAGAAGTTGAATAAACAAAATTTATTAAATGGTAAGTTTTTATATAAAAGTCTTTATGTCTGATGATTGAAAATCTTTATTCATAGCTTTAACTTTTACAATTTTAAATACTTTTTCATATATTACGGTCAAAAACTCAGAGTTTTAATTAACATTTTGTTGTGTAATAATCAACATATCAAAGCTTACACCACAGGCTTGGTCAGGAAGCATGAGCGATCGCTTTCAAATACTGACCACAGAAATTAAATTTAATTGCGAAAAACTGGCCAGGTTTTTTAGTTGTTTTGTGAACATTTAAGTTTATGAACATAACAAAATTTTTTTTTTGGATTTCAAAGTTGGTGTCACCAACTTTAAAAACCATTTGAAATCAAATGTTGAAAAAAACAACAGTATTTGTATTCATATCAGTATTCATATCAGTTTAAAGTTGCTGTTGTTTAACAGTTGCTGGTGATTCATTATTTTTCATTATATAAACGTTTATTTAAATTTATCTAATAGACGAAGGCAATACAATTTTTTTATAGATGATATTATTTTTAAATATTGTATTATTAAAATTCAGAACTAAAATATATAAAAAAAATTATTTACAAACATTGGACAAGGTTCGTACTCTACCTTGAAAATCTGGAAAATTTGTTAATATTGGCTAAAGTTGTGGCAAACCTGGAAAAGTCAGGGAATTATTTTTTTCTTTAGATAGTCATGGAAAAATTAGTAATTCTAGTTAAGAAGTTACTCGTTTCACAAATGAACGCTATATTTTGAAAATGTGATGAGTAACACTTTTTTTAAAAGTGAGGTTATTTGAAAAGAATATTTTTTTTTAGGAAAAGATAAAATTTTAAGATAAAATAAAGATTTTTTTTAGATAAAATAAAGATTTTTTTAGAGAAATGAAACAATTTTTAGATAAAATAAAAATAAAAATTTTTACAGGAGAAATATTTTTCACTCCCTTGTAAAATTTTAATTTTGTGACTTGTCACATTTTCAAAATACAACGCTCAATTATGCTATTATGTTTTTTTTTGGTGCTACCCATTTATTTTTTCTGAAACTTATGTTTTTCTTAGTGTTCATTCTTAGTCATCATTGAAGTACAACTTGGTAAACTACAAAACACATCAAACTCAGTTATATAAATTTGAGTTACAAAGGTATGCTAATTATTGTATTGCCTGAGAGAGTGTCATTGCTATTAAAAGCAGTGAAGAATTCAAGTACTTTGGAAGAAAAGAAAATACGTAAATAAATGGTAAATATTTTTGTATGATTTTTTTATGCATTTTGTATGATATCTTAGTACAATTTATATACTTTAAATAGAATACTCTTTGAATATTTTTTGTAAATGACATTTTATATTAATTTAAGTCTAAACAAAAGTTACTTTAATTATTGCCAGGTTGTGTATTTTTGCAGGTCAATTATTTGGCACAAATTGGAGTTAAAGACAAAGGAGATTGTATATTTTATTTGCTAAGAAAAGTTTTTTAAAATGGCCTAGTTGTAAAATTAAACTATGCAGGGAGAGGACAAAAAATTGGAATAGAAAAAATGTTGATTGCATATGCTGCTATTGGTAAGTGGTTTAGAAAAGTTTTTTCAGTTTCAATTTTGCATTACAGAATTACTTTCAATGTTATGTTTCTTTGGTGCATAATTAAACAAACAACTATTTTTTTTGTTGCAGAAACTGTGAAGTCAAATAAGCATGGTTTATGCAGACATGTGATAGAGATAGTGGAAGAAAAAATAATAATCGTGGGCACCAAATATCATAAGCTAAACACTATTCAACAACAAGTAGCTCAGCCGATATCGAAACTACTCTATAAATTTTATAGTGAATTTTTTTATTTAAAACTCAATGTGTCAGTTTTTGGTTTAAGTTTGGTGTTTGCAATATGTATGTTTAACCGATAAATTATGTTAAATAAATAAATTTTTATACTTGTATTATACATTCTTTTTTTTCTATATAAATTTTCAATGTAGCGATGCAAATCATCTTATTTGTAACAACGATCTAATGTTGCATAATATGTTAGGCTGATATAACATACGATATTGGGCCAATGTTGTATACAACGTTAGGCCAATTTTGTATACAATGTTGGGTCAATGTTGTATACAACATTGGCCTAACGTTATATACAACATTGGGCTAATGTTGGGTAAACGTTGTATACAACATTGGGCCAATGTTGTACACAACATTGGGCCAATACCTAACCAATGATCAAACCTGCATTGGGCCAACATCGACTTTCAACATTGGGCCAATGCATTATCATGCATTGGCACAACGTTGGTCCAATGTAAGCTTGCTGTCTGGGATATATATATATATATATATATATATATATATATATATATATATATATATATATATATATATATATATATATATATATATATATGTATATATATATATATATGTATATATATATATATATATATATATATATATATATATATATATATATATATATATATATATATATATATATATATATATATATATATATATATATATATATATATATATATATATATATATATATAATTATATGTGAATGATTATAATGCAAAAAAAAAGGCTAAAAAGTTGACAAGTTACTTATAAAGTATGTAAGATAAAATATTTATATATAAGTTAAATATAAATTTATTATGTTACATAGTTTATATACTATGTGATTTGTTTGCATTTTATATATATTTGTTTTTATAATATGGAAAATATAAACTATATAATATAGTTTTTATAATATATCATAATCATTTAACTATATATTATAAACAATTTGTACCAAAAAAATTTGTGTGCATATTATATTACAACACAATTACAACAATTGTATGCAAACAAATTTAATGCATACAAATCAAACTCTGAAAAATAATAAAAATAATAATATATGTCTAAGCATAGTAATATATTATAAGTAATATAATATGTAATACAATACAGTATATATATATATATATATATATATATATATATATATATATATATATATATATATATATATATATATATATATATATATATATATATACAGGTACCTTCATAAAAAATTTAAACTTTTATTTTGTAAACCAAATTAATTCTATTATATAAAGATTATTAAATGACAAATTTTTATACCAAATTTATTATCTGGGGTCAACTATAAAAAGATATTTAATTTTGAACGTATAAAAAAAAAAGTGGACATCTTAACAAAGATACACAAGAAAATGACTTCAAAAAGTGGACTTTATAACATAGTTCATAAAATATTAACAATTTACCGTCACATATATGGTAAAAACTGTTTATTATATCCCACTTAAATTAACTAAATCAAAAAAAAAAAAAAAGGAGGGGGGTGTTTAAGCCCATTTTAAAAGTGGGTCAAATTCGATTCAAGTCATTTTATTAAAAAAATTACCATAATTAATCAAAATTTAAGTTTGTTCATGCTTAAATCTAACGAGAATGTGAAAAAAATTTGTATAACAAATTGAAGTGATTGGAGCCTGGGAACAAAAATACCTCAAAAAGTTTGTACCCCCACATAAAAATGTGAGGGGACTAAGTTATATAAATACTTTAACTTATTATTTTATACTACATTTAAATCCATTAACAGACCCAATAATTCTTGATATTTTTAAAGTTATTTTTTTAAGTTATTTCATGTGGTCATAACCTTTGAGCATTAAAAAATGTGAATTTAAATATAGTTTACTTATCAACTCATTAAATTAACATTTGAGACAGGGGGTCTATCTCTTTTAGATAGTTTTGTTCCTAAGATTTAATTACCACATTTTTTTAACAAACCATTCTTATTTGACATATGATTGAACATACTTATACTTAGAGTTTTCACAATGCCAAGTATAGAAACTGAAATGTAAAATAACCCCGTATCTGGTCTTAGTTAATATAAAAAAATTTAAAAATTTAAAGGAATAAATAAAAATGTATACAAAATAATCAACATAAACAAAATAAAAGATAATAATGCCTAATATATTATAGTAATTTTTAAATGAACTCCAGGTCTTTAAGTATTAGATCTGCTATAACTCTTTCCTGGCTTATATCAATATCTTCAGCTTCATCTTCATTGACTTTCCAATACCCTATTGTGTATGTAATAGATTTTTTTTTTGTTGATACCTTTTGATCAACAATTCTACCAAAAAATAAATGTATATTGCCATCATCTAGATCCCATTTATGACTTAAGAGCTGCCCTATCAAGTTTCCATTTTTCTCCTAAATTTGTTTTCGTTCATCAATATTAACAAAAAGAGGATTTGTGGTTTTGGCATTTTCAGCAATTTCTTTCTTAATATCCTTCTCTAGTTGCTTTCTTTTTAGACGTTCTTTTTTTAAATTAGCTTTGGCGCATCTTTTTCCTATTTCTTCATACAAAAGATTATTAAAATTTTTAGAGGCTTGACACTTTAAAGCTCCTCTGCGAGTTGCAAATTGAATAAGGTCTTCTTGTTCTGGCAATGTTTTCTCATCAAGCCATGTTAATGTTTTGTTTACCCTGGCCTTTATTTTATAATCCAGAAAACCAAAAGTAGCAATAGGAGCACGATGCAAAAAAAAATCAAGCATGACCAAGATCCTTTCAGCCTCCATTGTATGAGGTGAAGCAAATAATGTGATTTTTATCATTTCTAAAGATGGATTTGAGAGATTGCCAGTCAAATACCTGGCCATCTGTCTTTTGAGAATTGTCTCTGTGTAGCTTATCAAAGCTGATAAAATCTTTACCAAAATATTTTTATTTTTTATTACGCGAAGGGATTGGTGTACCTTATCTTTTTTAAAATTTAATACTTGACTAAAAATATCCACATCTGTATAAAGAATTGATTCTGAATTACTTTTGAAGTAAGCTAACTTCCTTATTACTTTCTGGAAAATGTCACCCTAATAAAAAAATAATGTTTGTACATTTTTTAAACTACTTTATTTGTTTATTAAAAAACCTTAAAAACTTACAAACTCAAGATTACCCTTTCCTGTTGCATTTTTATAAACCAGACTCATCCATGGCCAAGTTATTATTTTTCCTATCAGGCTCAACCTTTGCAGTTGCACAAGCGTTATATCATTACTCATATCTTGAAGTAAGAGCTGGCAAATTTTATTTTTGGTGTTGCTAGAATAACGAGAAAATGTTAATACATGGAACTCTATTAAACGTAATATTCATCTAAAAAAAACTTACTTTTCAAGAAAGGTTTTTATAAGTCTTTCGCATGTAACAACAATCCCTGCCATATGGAACAAAACATGAAATCTACTACCAACATATAAGTAGCCCTGGAGCAACATTGTTCTTTTTAAGATAGCTTTTGAATGCTGCAGGATCTCCTTTAAAACTATACCTGATTTTTAAAGGGCAAAAAAATTAAAATTTCAAATTTTTAAAACGTGGAAATAATAAAGAAATAATTGCTGACAAGGAAATAAAACTAAAAAAAAAAATTTAAATAATGAAAGATATACATATAAAAGATTACTTTAGCTTAGAAATATTTTTGAGGACTGTTACTGCAACCCCATCAGTTCTTTTAGCCGGTTTTATCTTCAACTCATTATCTATTGTTTTAAGAGCTAATAATGCTTTTGAGGACATAGTTTCCAATGGATGAACATTACAGTGCAGTTGCATTAATTGAATGTCTATCTCCTCCTGAAGCATGTTTTTCACACAACTATTAACAGGTGCTCTGTCTGACAGACAACTTTTGATTTTTTGAGTAAATACGTCTAAAACTTCTACTGCTGCATATTTTTAAACTCTGCAAATGTAATGGCAAGTTCTTTTATTAAACTGACAATATGAGTGGCACAGTCAAATCCTGTACCTCCAGCAAGTTTAGCGGTTGATAAGGAATAACATCTCTGCGGAGGATAGGTATTTTTTTTTTTTTTTTGTAAACTACATATTTCATTTTTTTTTTTTTTTTGCATGAACCACACTTTATTCTCTGCGTTGTGTCTGAGGCAATAATTAAACCACTTGCAACGTCTAAGTGAATATTTGTACTAGAACTATTTCTTTTATCTTTCATATTTAAATGGTTGCTGCAAAAAATTAACAATAGCAGCCCATGACTGGGTAGGGTTTTTTTTAAAGACTTTTATCTTTTTATGCAAGTATCTTATATTGTTGGTAGCGATTCCACGGCTTAACAAAAAACATTTGACGTTCGACAAAAAACACGTAATTTTAATAAACTTTGATCTCATATCTTTTTGTATGGTTAAGCAAGCGTCTTGATGTTTTTTGCATCAGTTAGTTTTACTCAATCTCTTTCCAACCATATATAGAAAGTACTAAGTTTTGTATGGCTTCATTTATATATTGTCCATATCCTAAGACCACTTTTCATAAAAAACTTCCGGGAACGTTTTTTTAAAACGACGCTTTTGAATGTATGCATTCCTTAGAACTTAAACACATCTATTTTTTATGAAATTTTCCATATTTATCAAGAAAAGGACGAGGAATCTAATGGAATCTGGACGTTTTTTAACTTTTATACAAAAAAGTTTAGTTCTCTGCGTTTAAAAACTTCAAGGTTGATTTATATGAAAAAAAAAGTGTTTTTTTTTTTTTTTTAATTTGCCGTTTCATATATTTACAATAAAGACATATTACATTTATAAAAATTGGCCGGAGCAAGAAGAAGACAATGACTGTCTTATCAGCGAGCCCCGTTTACAAAGCGTCCATATTTATCCCTAAAAATAATTTTATAAAAGTAAAAAGTCAAATATGAACAAATATTAAACAAATATGAATAAAATATACAAAAAACCGTTAGAGAGTACATTTTTGAAAAACGTCCATGTGGAAATGGTAAGTTTAGCCTTTCCTCTATTTAAAACAAGTATTTATTTAAGTTTACCTAAAGAATTGGTACTAAGGAATTGCATATATAAATTATGTGTATATATATGCGTTTCTTCGCGTATTTTATGACGTTATTTGTAGGGTTGTTCACGAAAGCCAAAGTTGAATTTTCGATTAAAAAAAAAGTTTTCGAAACTCTATTTTCGTTTCGGTAAGTTCGAAATAATTTTAAAGTAATTAATTTTGCATCGAAACGATTTTTTTACTTTCGAAGTTGTAAAATTTGCTTCGAAATATTTTTGCGATTTCGAAATTCTGAAAATATTGTCGAAATAATTTTTTACTTTCGGAATTGTAAAAAATGCTTCGAAATATTTTTGCGATTTCGAAATTCTGAAAATATTATCGAAATAATTTTTTACTTTCGAAAATGTAAAATTTGCTTCGAAATATATTTGCGATTTCGAAAATCGGAAAATATTACCGAAAAAATTTTTTACTTTCGAAATTGTAAAATTTGCTTCGAAATATTTTTGTGATATCGAAATTCTGAAAATATTACACAATATTACTATTAAATTCTAAAATTTGCTTATATTTATTTTATTACTGAAATTGTACAAAGTTTTATTAAAATATTTTTATAAATAATTAAATTTTAAAAATTAACATAAAATAATACTTAAAATTTTTGGTGTTACGGCCAGAGAAAAGGGTTTAACTACCTCCCACTATTTTATAGAAGAATCTGCAATTAATTTAATAATAACTCAGGGATCGTTCGCAAATCACCTCACATATTTAAGCCTAGCGTGGTTTCGGATTTTGCGTAGAGTTTTTATTTTTCCAGATTGGGCTCAAACAGTGGCGTCAATTCAGAAAAAACTTATAAGGAGGGGCCAATTTGTGAAAACAATTTAACTCTTCCCCCCCCCCCCTCCTTCACAAACCAAAATCATAACATTGAGCAGCACAATTCAATTTTGTTTCTTGGGTATTTTGTTAAAAACTTTACTTTAAAAACTTTACTTTAATAAAACTCTAAATATATAGAAAATAATACTATTTTTGCTACTTTTTAAAAGAAACTGCTACCAAAAAGCAAGGATATACTCACAGCCGTGGATAGGCTCCCCACGCTCCTCTTTAATTGGGGATGGGGGACAAATTTAGGGAGTCTTTTTCAAATTTTTGAGGGCCTTTTACCGAATTCGCCCCATGGACATCTGCTGCCCGGGACAAACAATACCTTCCCTTCACCTCTCTCGCCTGATTAGATTAAGCTTCATGACTTTTTACTTTTATAAAATTATTTTTAGGGATTATATTTACCCTCACCAAAAGCTTGAATAGCCTTTTTGATAGCTTGTTAAAAAAATAAAAAGTTTTTTTTGCGCGTCGTTTTGATTGCATAAAAATTTCTTTTGAAAATACTTTTTTTATTTCGAAAACACAACGTTTAAAAATCAAAGTAAATTTGAAAGAAAAGTTGCGTAACTTTAGACACTTTAGAAGAGTCTGTAAGGAATTTTATTTTTAATATCTGTAAATTTTTAAAAATAAAGTAGAAGGTCAGCTTAAAAAAATTAGCAAAAACTAAATTATTTTTCGAATTTTTCTCTAAAATCCTATAAAGATTATCTGGTTAAACAAGAAATATAGAATTTTGACAGTCCCTTCTAATATCTAAACTTCGCATAGTTTACAGCACGCACATAAGTCATTATTATTCCTCAACGGCAATTCCTTTGAGGTCTTAAACGCATGACATGAAACCATTGTTGCAATGTAAACGGCTAATTACTTCCTAGTGGTTATTTAGAGATTTGCAACGGTTTCAAATCGACTTATGCCTTTGCGATTTTTGTGTTACATAATTCTAAAAATGGTGTAATTTTATATTAAAGTTATAACAATCTCATTAATATCTCGGAAACGTAAGTGAAGTAACATGTGGTACAAATTTATTTTATCATAAGTTACTAATTTGTTAATATTTGTTACATACGAACGAGTAAAAAAACTACTCGCTTTTTAGTTTGAATAAACAATGTCAAAAACAAATAAATCCGTTATTAAGAAAGGAATAAGAAAACGAAGCTTCGTTTGGACATATTTCGAAATGGACCAAAAGAATCAAACAAAATGCAGCATATGTTATTAGATTTTACCTTACAACAGTTCGACTAGTTCAATGTAATCCCATTTATCAATTGATCATTGCATTAATTCTAAAATATCTAAAAAATCAACAACTTTACTCAACGATGACGATATATCCGACATTGAGAGCGGTAATGAGAATGGTTTTGAAGAGACTGGTCATAAAAAATTAAACAGGTTACTGGTGAATTTTATTGTTGGTACCGATCAGCCGATTTCGATAGTACGTCATCCAGACTTTGTAAACTTAGTTAGTGAGTTAAACAAAAGCTACAAAATGCCTTGCATAAATACGGTGAGCAAGAAATTAATTCCATCAATTACGGACAATCTTAAATCAATTTTAATGCTAGAATTGAAGGGATGTCGTTTCATTACAATTACTTGTGATAGTTGGTCATCACTAGGTAAAAACAGCTACCTCGGTGTGACTTGTCATTTTATTGACAAAAATATGACTCTAGTTGACCGAAACCTGGATCTTAAGTTTATGTCTGAAATGAAAACAGCTGAATATTTATTTAATACGTTAAACGAAATCTTCAGTGAATGGTCAATCAATAATAAGATTTTTGCACTAGTTACTGACTCAGGTGCAAATATTTTCTCTGCAGTAAATAAATTTGATGATAATGTTCTTAAGATTCCGTGTGCTGGTCATCGTTTGAATCTCGTGGTTAATGATCTTCTAAACGCACGAGATATAAAAGTAAAAAAATTTAAAAATGGGTCAAAGCGTTACCAAGTAAAAGATTACGACGGTAATGGAAAACTAATTAATAGAGAAATTACAGAAAGTGAAGTTAAAGAAATTGAAAAAATTAACGAAGGCAAATTAGAAATCGCCAAGGTAATTTCATCCTGCACGCACATTGTTGGTTCATTTAAGCATTCAGAGATGTTACAAAAAAAGTTAAAAGAAGTTCAAGAAACACTTCGTTATGAAACTAAAATAAAGTTAGTACAGGATATAGCTATTCGCTGGAATAGCCAATTCGATATGATTGAATCTATATTAACAAATAAAACTGCATTGGATATGATAAGCATCGAATTCCAAAATATAAAAGACTATCTTCCCACTGCTACTGAATTTAAGGTGCTGGAGGATTTGTGTGATTTGTTACACCCAATTAAAGAGCTAACAAAACTTTTTAGCGGAAAGAAATATGTTACAGTAACATTCCTGTTTCCAACACTGTATTCTCTACTAAATGAAATACTTGAATCGCAACCTATTTTTACAGAACTAGTTAAGACTTTTCAAAAGGAATTATTAAGGTCTCTAAAAGGACGTTTTAAATACATTTTTGCTAATGATTTTTTTTTAGCAGCTACTTTTCTTGATTTCAAATTTCGTAAATTCGAGTTTATCAAAAATGATATCTATAGATATGAATGCATTTCAAAGGCAAAAATGTTTATAAAAACATTTTATGAAATGCATCTAAAAGAAACCAAAGAAATCGATATAACAATTGAAACAAATTGTTTAAATAACACTTTGAACTCGTCAAACAGCTCAGCTGACAATACCATAAAAACATTTTAGCAATTGTCAACGTCACCTATTGCAAATAATATTACTTTAGTTAACAACAAAAGACGAAAGTCAACCAACTTAATTGAACTAGTAACAGATAAATCTTGTTGTAATTTAATTGAGAGCAATGATAAACTTGAAAAAGAAATAAATGATTACAGTCTGCAATACTTTCATAGCCCCGAAAATAGTGCCATTGAATTTTTCCAAGCTAATCAAAAATTGTTCCCGATTTTGACACAAATTGCACGGATAATATTTTCAGTTCCAGCGACATCCGTGCCATCAGAATGCTTATTTAGTTCAACCGGTTTAATAGATACGGAGCTACGGAACAGGCTTGCGCCAAGCTTATTGAAGCAGTTAGTTTTTATTAAAGAAAACAAGTAATCAAAAACATTTCTTTATTAAAATAAAAAAAATTATTTAGTAAAAGTGTATTTTATAAATCTTAGTAATTTAAAGCACTTGTATTCTTTTTTTTTTATCTGATGAACTTTTTTACAAACAGCTTAATTAATGACAATATGTTTTCTTCTACATTCTTTTCAATTCTGGAAAAAACACCAATATCCAATGATTGAGCTGCCATCAGAGCAGGTGTAAGTAGGTGTGACGTGGTGGGGTGTCATTAAAATTTTTGTTGAGTAAAAAATTAGGTCCTTGTTTTTTGAAGTTCGACGACTGACCTGTCTAAAAGGTCTACATTTGCCGACTTCTTTAAAAGGGTTATTTTTGCCGACTAAATGCACAAAAAATGCATTTAGGAAGGTGTGTGTGTAAATGATTTGTAAATTTAAATAATCTTTCCCCGTTATTGAATGGTTTAGAATTTGTAACTAAAGAGGACTAATTTCATAGCTTGTAGCAGTAGCATTTACTGTTATGATATTGCCCTTTTTTAAGAAATCTTGTTGTCCAAACAACTAATTATAAATTGGATTGTTTTATCTTTCCCTAACTTGAGGAAAATCTTTATGAACAAAAAAGTGATTAGAAGAGAGTCTTTTTTTAACTTTCTAGGAGAGATTATAGATGAAAATATATCATGGAAATATCATATTAAATCTATTGAAATTAAAATATCCAAAAATACTTCAATGCTATATATAGTTAAACCTTAACTTTATTTAGCATAAAAAATATATAATTTTCTTAATACGGAGTCTTTGAAAATTATATATTTTTCATTTAGGGAGAGTGGGGCAAAGTGGGTCGAATTTCTTTCTTTTTTAATTTGAGTGAAAGTTAAAATATATATTTTATGTTTGTCAAGGCTAAAGGATTGAGAATATGTCCTTCATGATAAGAAATAACTAAAATCTAAATATATATTATCTAACAGCTCACAGAAAGGTTTAAAGTGAGTTTTGTTAAGTGATTCACTGTACCCCAGTACTGGGGTACAGTGAAACAATTAACTCATTTGCAATTTAGTGGTAGTTAATGGGGGCGTAGCCAAATAATTTTGAGGATGAGGGTGTAAATACATTGTACACTATACTTTTGGTGCACTTTTGGTAACTAATATCAAATAATTTAAATTTTTTCTGATTGACAAAATAAAGAATAAATTTTATTGATAACAAAACTTATTCAACCATCTAAAATCACAAAAAAAAAATTATTTAATAAAACTTATTTAACCAACAACACAAGAAATTTTTTAAAGTGAATTTTTAATTTTTATAAACATTTTTATCACAGTGAATTAACCGTTTCACGGTACCCCGATTCATTGTGCCCCACTATAAAAAATAAGGTTCAAGTTTAATTTCTTGGGGCATGAGTTTTATTAAAGGGAAAGCAAAACTACTAAAATGAACCATAAAGATCAGTATTCCGAATATATAACTTATAAAATGATTTTAACCATGATCTCCACAACAAACATAAAGATGGTAAGAGCATTTACTTTAGTTAGCTAAAAACTTAAATTACCTACCTAAAACCGAGAGTCAAAAATTATGTGGTAACACCTATAAATAAAGATGGGTGATATATGCGCACATAAACTTATTACATCATCGTGATGAACAAAATCATAATCTTTGAAAAAATGCTTCTTATTCACTGTGTTCCTCAATCCACTGTACCCTGACTTCCCCTATTCATAGTTTTTTTATTTATAAACTTAATATATACCAAGTTATGCTTTTTACGTTTAAATCAAAACATGCGTTATCTCCTTATATATTTCACTCTTACTTTGCAGAAATATCTCATTAATACCCATCTGATAATTTTGTAATTCCAAGATCTTATTTAAAACTCAATTCATTTCAAATTCAATACCGTGGACCATTTATATGGAAAAGTTTTTAAAAAAACATTATTAAAAATAAAATTCTTCTAAGAGCAATTCTAAGAACATCTCCTTAGAATAATTCGAAAGAGAATCTAAACGTTTCTATAAGAAAAAAGTTTCAATATTTCTTTTAATATTTCTTTTAATAAGTTTGAAATTAATTTAGCTTACCAAATATCTATTGGTTTTTTCTCGAAATTAATTGCACACTTCGAAACTCTTTTTTTTCTTTCGAAATTAATTTGACTTTTCAAAATACACTTTTTTTTTTCGAAGTTAATTTGACTTTTCAAAACTCTTTTTTTTCTTTCGAAATTAATATCACTTTTCGAAATACATTTTTTTTTTCGAAATTAATTTTACATTTCGAAATTCTTTTTTTCCTTTCGAAATTATTTTCCTATTTCGAAATCCACCTTTTTATTTCGAAATTAATTTCACATTTCGAAATTCTTTATTTCCTTTCGAAATTAATTTCCTATTTCGTAATCCACCTTTTTATTTCGAAATTAATTTCACATTTCTAAATTACTTTTTTTTTTCGAAATTAATATGGCTAGTTCGATTATTCTCGAAAGTTTTTTTAGATTTCGAAAAAAAAGAAGTATTTCGATAACGTTTTAATCGAAAATTTTCGAAAATTGCAATTTCGATAATGAACCCTAGTTATTTGTTTTGATTTTTGCGTTTGTTTTGGTCAAGTTATGAAAATTAAATTGAAAGTGAAAGTATAATTCTTAAAATTTTAATCAAATAAAAATAAATATTTTACTTCTTCCCAGGTATGAGCTCTGCATTGTGCAAGAAAGTTAAAAGCTTGATTTTTACTTTTTAAACTTCAGGTTGCCCTTATTTAAATTGTTTTTTTCAAAAAAAAATACCTAAAAATAGTATTTTTAGGTTTTTTACAAAAATGGACTTGAGTAAGAAATTATTTAATTCTTTTTTACATTTATTTATCTATTTTTTTTGTTGTTTAAAGTATTTTAAACTCTAGTAATACTTACTTTAATTTCCTTATTTTAGTTGGCATTAACAATAGTCCTGAAAAAATGGTTGCTCCATCTATAACTCACGAAAGTAAGTCAAAATTTCAAATTAGGAATACTGTAGCACAAATTTTTTTTGATTTAATAATTCTATTTATTGAAACCAAAGTGTAATGATCCACCCCATATTTTTCTTTGTTGTCACTTAAGTTAAGTTTACTTTTAATATTAGCATCCAAATTTTGTTTTGATTATCTTTAATGGAGGCATTGTATCCCTTAAAAATCCAATCCATCAAAAAGTCAAAAGATTTCATTGCAAAATTGAATTGTGCAAAAATCGTGTCTTTCTTTGGTTATTGTATTGTATTGGTTATTGTTAATGCCGGTGCCTATAATCCGACAAAAATTTCAAATAAATTATTTAGTATTGAGAGAATTCGTATTATCTGATGTTTTAAATTAGTTTATTTTTATATATTTACTCTCGTACAAGATGTCAACATTTAAATCATTCATAACAGCTAAATAAGGAGCTGGAATTTATACAATAACCAAAGAAAAGAAAAAGCGCAAAACCTAAGGAAAAATGTACTGAGAGAACTTAAAATGAGCAAAAAAATTAATCATAATCTAACGAGAGATCAAAGAAAAGCATTTAAAAAAATTATTCAAGACAAGAAAATTGATATTTATCCATTTGATAAAGGAATAGGATTCGTAAGAATAGAACATGATAAAGCAATTGAAAAAATTAGAGAACAGATTGGTCCAACAAAAATTCATAGTATTGATCCCACTCTAAGTAATGCAGCTAAAATAAAGTCTTTCCTTTCAAAACTTAACAAAAAGCAACGTTTTTCTAATGATGAATATGAAAGCGTATACCCGAGTGATCCTGTCCCACCACGTTTGTATGGGCTAATTAAAGCTCATAAACAAGAAAAATCTTATCCGATGAGAGTAGTTGTATCAACTATTGACACACCTTGTTATGGAATTTTGAATTACTTGGTTAAAAGAATACAACCGGTCTTAAATGAAAATCCTATTAGGTTAAAAAATTCAAAAAACTTTATTAACAAGACTAAGTCGTGGTTAATTGACAAAGATGAAATACAGGTATCCTTTGATATTGTGAACATATAACCATCAATACCATTAAAAGAAGCAACTTTAATATATTTGTATCAATTAAAAAAAATCGTTTCTTACAAAAACTCAACTAAACTTACTTTAACTGAAACAAAACAACTAATTGAACTTTGTTTGTTTGATTGTTATTTCTTGTGGAATGGTGAGATTCATGAGTTGGAGAATTCAGGCCCAATTGGATTGTCTTTTATGGTTGTTTTGGCTGAATCTTTTTTACAATACCATAAGGAAAAAGCAATAAAAATGGCAACGACAATGATTCCTTCAATTGATATTAAATCCTTTCATAGATATGTAGACGATAGCCATGCAAGGTTTTCTTACTTAAATCAAGCGGAACAGTTCCAAACAATTCTTAACAGACAACATCCTTCTTTAAAATATACTATTAAGGTTGAAAACAAAAATAAGATACTTAACTTTTTGGATATAACTATTATTAATAATACCCAAGGAAAATATGAGTTCAAGGTTTACAGGAAGGATGCAATAACCAATATCCAAATCAAACTTCATTCTAATCATGATCCTAAAATTTTAAAAGCAATATTCAAAGGA